CCTCCACATGCCTGTCACTTTCTGCAGTCCCTCTCTCTCCCTGTCCTTCTTTCATGCTTGCTGATATCAGCTGGTGCAAATCCACTAAAAATATACTAAAAATATCCATCTTCATGCCTCATCCAGCCATCCTCAGCTGGCGGTTACTCACATCTCTTTTATATACACTTCTTCTGCTCTGTAACGTGTGGGCTTACTCTCTCTTTTTTTATCTGTCCAGCAATGCGTCAACATTATCTCCATCCCTCCTTCTTCTATGTCTCCCTTAACTAAAACTAAAATCCTTCCCTACATCATCTCTGTCCCTCCCCTCTCCACTCATTTAGGAAATCTCTCTCAGTCTGTATATTATCAGGACTTTAGGCCAAAACATAAACCTCCTTGTTTCAGTCATCTTATACCTCACTAATGGACACAGCTCTCTCGTGTGTGACTGGTTTTGACTTTTTGACTTTTGAGACTTTCATGGACAGAATGTTTTCCCATTTGTGTATTATCCCTAGTTCCCTGCCAGTGCATGTATGTCCTTATCTTGTGAGGCAGAAGGTAAGGGTGTAACACATCTCACTACAGGAGACAGGAGTTTACATGGCATCACAGACCTTTAATTAAGTTTTGCCTTTTTATTAACTATTTGTCCAGAAGCACAGGTGGTAGAAAGTGAGAACTATAAAAAAGTGAATCAACTGGAAAAAATGTATACCCGCTTATGCTGTCACAGATCAGGAGGCTATCCCAGCTCGCATTGGTGAAGGGTGCCTGGGTCTATCACAAGCAACAGAATATACTTAACCTTTTTGTATTTCCTCCAATCATCAACTTGAGTTCATACTTATACTTTACCCTGTAGCACCGCACTCCCTCTTTGCCTGCAATATAGCCTTCCATTCCAGCCAGTAGTTAAGGTAAATATTCCACTTTCAGCTTCTTCTCCCCCTCACTACCTCCCTATTCCCTCTTACATTCCACCCTCTCCTGGATATGTGTCTCTGCTCACTCTTACTATCCACACATTGCTCTCACATCTCACTCTTTCCTTCCCCTTCCTCCTCTTTCTGTCTCTATTCTTTAGATTTTCTGTAATCTTTTACTTACCAATGCTCTGATGTATTTCCTTCTGTCACTGCAGGACTCACAAAAATCTGCCCCGATGGCTGATTTTCCCATGCGTTCCCATCTTTCACTACTTTACTTCCACACTCACCCTCTTTATGTGTTTCCCACTTTCTGGTCCTCCTTAATTCCTTCTCCCTCCTCCTTTTCCTCTTCCATGAGCCCCATCCCTTACCTTCTGATCTTCTTTCACATCCTAGTTATTTTCAATCATTCCTGTTTCATGCTCTTTTACCTCTCATCTTTGCAAATACTTTCATCCTTCCTTCCCTTCTTACCTTCCCCTGAGTTTGTCTTTCCTGCAGTATCCTCTCCTCATGTCTTCTTTTCTTTCTTCCCACTTTAATTTTGCATCCCCCCTCCCTCCATACCCCCTTAAACCCCACTTTTCATTACTCACTTTTCATACTTTTCTACCATATCTCGCCATCCTCTCCACACTATCCCTTCCTCACTAGTTCTCTTTCCTTACATCCCTCTTCTCTTTTGATCATTCACTCGCATTCTCACTTTTTTTTTTGTTTCCTACTCTCACTTGCTGATGCCCTCTTTCCTAACCATCTATTTCTCTCTCTCACTCTCTCTCTGTTAGAGTTCTATCATTAATACAGTATGTATCCTGCATTTTGACTCTCCAGTCCCTTCCTCCCCATGCATACCAACCCTTCCCTCTGTAGTTTTTAGCTGCATTCATTTCTTTTTCCTCAGCTGGGAATGCTAGAGATAATTCAATGAACACTCCCCACACACATATACACACATACTCTTACCTTACTGTGTATGCTTTGTACAGTGCTCATTGTCCACTGGGTCTATTCCTGTTCTACCTCTCCCTCTTTGCTGTATTACTGTGTTCCTCTCTTGCTCTCCAAGGTATGCCTCAGCTAAACCAAATATCTACTCTCCACCATCCCTCCCATCCTCTTGCTAGCTTTTGTATTCCCAGTTTGCTTGCACACACTCTTACTCTGTGCTCCTGTCTTCTCACAATCTTCATACCTGGCTATGCCTGTTTCTCTCTCTCGTCTCTCAGCTGGGCCTGCAGTGCAACAGGATTCTCTGACTGATGCCGTTTTCTGTTTATTTTTTTTATCCTAGTCTTACTGAGAAGAATTCACCCTTACCCCTGACTTTGCTTTTTATGGGTTCTCAGAGCTTCTTGTATGTCCTCTCCCTCCCTCAATCTTTGCAATCCATTTGTTCCTCCCTGCTCTCCTCTCCAACATGCTCTGCCTTCGCAGCCGTAACCCTTACTCACAGTGTTGCTTCTGCTGAGGTTAAAATGCAAATAATCGAAATGCTGTAGGGGTGAGGCATATGCATGTTTTGCACTCACATGTGTGACACACTCACAAACAGAAGCACAGTATTAAGAAAGCAGCTCAGGCAACCCAATGATTGAGGGCCAAATAGATGGACAATACTGCCATCTGCTGTAAATGTATTGAAACGTCAAACTTGTTAATGGGCCTTTGTCAGTGAAGATATTTTGACATATCACAGAAGTGAAAGTGAAGGTGTAATAATAATAAAAGTTGAAAAAAGAGTTGTTATAATATTAATGTTTTAATGAGAAACACTTGCGCTTTTCGGACAGACCAAATGTCTGTGAAAAATTGCTACTGGACGCTAACAAGTTAATGCTGGCTCTGCCCATGACTGTGTTGTTCTCAAACACTTCAATGGCTAAATAAGACCCTATTACAAGAATAATAACAGCTAATATGACCATTACACTAACATAACAATCACCAAACCTGATTTATGTATTTATTTATTTATATTCATGTTAAAGCTTGTAGATAAACACAAGTGTTGTGAGGTGAAAACACAACTGCATCATGTACACATACAAACATATACTATGTTTATTGTTTTCTGCATCTGTTACATGTCATGTCAAAATCTAATATCCATACTTTGTGCACTTGGCAGGACCCTTGACCAATATTGCCTTGGTTGAGAGTGTGTGTGTGTGTGTG